TACTACTACTACCACTACTACCACTACTACTACTACTACTACTACTACTACTACTACTCCATCTACTACTACTACTACTACTACTACTACTACTACTACTACTACTACTACTACTACTCCTACTACTACTCTACTGCTACTACTACCGAATGAAGCACGTGTGGGCTAATTAATTGCTGTTGCCTGACATGAGGCTCCGCGGGTGGGTGATTAGTTGGCACCTTGCGCATTGGTTCTTCTTAGAGAGCACAGCCTGGTTTTGGAGATGTTCGGAAGAATGCCTTGTTCGCTTGTGCTATCTCGGCGAGCAGCCACGCACAAGCCGAGGTGCGAGACACCCGATCCTTCTGCAGGGGATACTCCTCGGCTGGCTTGATGATTGCTCGGATGGGAGTGTCGGTCATGAAGCTTTCTGCAATTAGGTTATGTGTCGTGACGAGCATAGTTCAGCATGTTTGCCTCCGGCCGTTCCGCTGTGACGAGTGGCTAGTGGTAGCACGATTAGCCAGGCAGGAATGATACCTGCCCAGGATCTTGGTGCTGGTCCTGATCTTGCAGATCTACCTCATGGCGGAGCTGAAGGCGCTTCCATGGGCTATGCCGATGCCTAGACGACGGTTCGAGCTGTTTTCTCGAAGACTGTTTCGCGGTTTCTAGGGGGGTTGACAGCACTGTTGGCCATTTTTGAACTGTGCCGAATCTTGCTTTAGTCATGCTTGGGTGGGTCCTAGTGTCTTCGTGGTGGAATGGCTGACGAGACTGAAGTACCATGTGCCTGTGTGGGATTCAAGTCTTCTGACTGTCCGCAGAGCACAGAGTGCTCTAAAATACTCTGGACGCCATTATGACATGTTATGACAGTAACAACCCCCAAGCAATACCGTAAAGTCATAAGCGGAATCAGCTCGTCGGCAGCTCAAGGACAGTTGAAAGTTGAAAGCGGCTTCTCCCTGAACTGCCGGCGTTTGACTGAAAGGATTTGCCACTAGCTGGGAGCCTTCGCATCAAGCTACAGACCACGCATTCGCAATGTGTGGTGTGCAGCTGGCTGCAAAGGCTCCCGCTCAGAGAGGTTTTGGAGCTCGAAGAAATTCCTCAAGCCTGGCACTTCAGCATATGACACCCCGACCAGGGGTTGCACAGGGCAATACCGGGTGGTGGGAGCCTCGCTGGACAATCCTGCACATGCGCAGTGTGTGGCCGCACACTGAAGAGCATGACCAATCTTTGGAGCAGCTTGTTCTGGTCGTGCCAACGTGAGTGGAGTGCGTCTAGGAAAATCAAGTGAACTCTGGACACAGTTGTCTGATCGCTAAAGCACGTGGTTTGCATCTGCCCTTAGGAAAGCGAAGACTGCCAACAGTTCAGTGCATTGTGCGTGCACTTGCCAGTGATGTACACCCATTTGTCCCGCTGTCGTGCAGCACCAGTTAGCTAGGCCCGTGGCGAAGATAGCTTTGGCCCAACTTGTCGTACTAGCCCGGCTTGAACTGTTCGAGAACTGTTCGCCAGCCACTTGCTATGTACTACACCCACATTCAGCTAGTTGCTCGGATAAGAATCTGCATGGCTGTCAGGCCTTGGTGACATCGGTGGCCGTGAATCAGATCCGCAGCGTCTACGATCGCTACGAGATCATCATGTGCTCTCCCAGTATTGGTACCACAAGTATGAAAATCGAAATAGCCATCATGGGCAGAACCACAATAATTGAACATGGGCAGTCGCAGCGCCAGGAAGCTGAGGAGGAGTTTAGCGGAGCACACTGCTGTATGGAGTGGTAGTGCAACAGGCTTTCAAGAGCCGGAGCACTGCCTGCAGGACGCTTAGGGCTTAGCATGTGGTTAGCATTAGTTTGTTCCCATTGCATCGTCGTCGTCGTCGCAGTGGTCGTAGTCGTGGTCGTAGTGGTCGTAGTAGTAGTAGTAGTAGTAGTCGTCGTCGTCGTGGTGGTGGCGGTGGTGGTAGTAGTAGTAGTAGTAGTAGGTAGTCGTGGTCGTAGTCGTGGTCGTAGTCGTAGTCGTAGTCGAAGTCGTAGTCGCAGCAGCAGCAGCAGCAGCAGCAGCAGTAGTAGTAGTCGTCGCGGTAGTCGTAGCAGTCGCAGTAGTCGTAGTAGTCGTAGTAGTAGGAGGAGGAGAATAATAAAATAGCAGTTATTTGTCCGGAACGCCTCCAAGCTTTTCAATCTCTGGAACGGTGCCCTTGAAATCGTGTACCTACATGCGTGCATGCACATATACATATGGATACGTCTGCATACCTGCACATGGGTCTACCTAGACGCCTGCATTTCCGCCTGCCTCCTAACTGCTTCCCTGTCTGCCTCCCTACCTAGCTACCTAAGCCTGCCGACCACCATCGTTACATTCATGCATGCATGCATGTATACGGACATACACACGCAACATTCGTAGAGACACACATATTCAGTTGTAATGTTACATACCCACATACCGTATATTCACGAGCAAGCAAACATGCAAAACCAAGGCGGCCAAAAAAAATCAAAGTTTGATAACCATGTCAATTCCGGACCTTGCCTCTGTTTATCCCCTTTTACGGTCTGCCCAGCTTGGCATGTGCAACCTGGCCACCTGTCCACTCGTGGATGTAGGGTATTTGGGCCTAGGCATATCTCGGTGTGTATGTGTGCTACATGTGTGTGTGTGGATAGATGATGGTAGATGGATGCCAGGCTTGATAAAGAATTCGAGCCGTGAGCTGGCCGATGCATGCTGCCGAGAAGCTATCGGGAAGGTACGGAAACGACACAGCCCGCATGGCGCGCACCGTCCCCTGCCTTGAGTCAGAGCATAGGCCGTTCCATGGCGTGGACCTGATTTGTTGATTGTTTAGAGTTTAGACAGATTGGCTTCGATGACAGCATGCGAGCGATCTGTCCGGCATTATTGAGACGTTTTTTTCGACTGAGGCGAATGGCTTTCACCGTGGAAGGGAGCCGTACTTCGATCCGCAGAACTTTGAAAAATTGGATGAGCCCCTTGGTTGCTTGATACGGCTGCAGACTCCTCAGCAAGAATATCTGAGTGCGGCATGCAAAGAGAGGCATATCACGATACTGACTTCACGTCCGGAGAGCCCTGTGACTTTTCGTAGCCTGGCCTAGACTGGATCGGAATGCTAGTCACTTGGAGAGATACTTACTCATGGGAGATGTTTTCGAAGAGCAGCCATCCGGGACCTGTGCGAAGTTGGAGGAAGACTTGTTTCTGTCCTTCGCAAGAACATGAAGCTTTGCACCTGCGGCGCCAAGGGAGGACAAGGAGCAAGTGTGTAACTTTGCTGCACGGGGCTTTTCCTGTTGTGGTGTCCCCGAAGGTGAAGTTCACACTTAGTTCACACTCATTGGTCTGGAGGCCAAATAGGCTAAGACAACACCGTCGAGGTGCCACTTGTTGCGCAAGTTTTATTTAGCTGTGGCACCATCCGGCTAGGTCAAATCTGTGATCCGCTGGTGTATGCTGTTGAACACGCTATCATTCTGAGAGAGATCAGTTGCCGACATGCCGGACCGACGGACTTTGCAAAATTGCGGGCGGGTTTGAAGCTTCAGCGAAAGGAAGTAGAAAGGCCAGATCCCACTGTCGCAGCCGACCTTCTTCATGACTCTACTGACGATCTGGACTTTCACTGTCACTCGGCTGATGTGCGCCTTCCAGGATGTGTTAAGCATGGTGTTGGATGATTTGGGATTTGCAAGGCCGTTGATGGTCTTGTGTGCAGGGTTTGGGGACGTGTTCGGGTGCGGCTGTGGGACACAGTACCTACCGGCTTAGAGCCAACGCCCCCCGCAATCGCAAAGTAGCAGAGACTCGAAGGCCTACACCCCAACCGTAGCCGCAACAAGAATGACAAATTCACGTTTTGTTTACATGGGTTTCATGAGGGTTCAGAGTGCTTCGTAAGGTTTGCTGGTGGTTGTTGGGAGGTAGATGCACGAGGAGAGACGCTCAGGGTTTTACCGTCAGGCTGCGAAAGACTTCTTAGGAGACTCATAGCTGCATGACTATGTCAGGCATAGGGCATGTCCATATTTTGGTTCATCTTGGCTCCAAGTCTCTATGTACATGGACATTAAGATTGGACCTTGGGGCCTTATACTTCCCAAAGTCCCAAAGCACTGCGTGCTCAGCAACAGGTTGTGGCCGATATCCGCAAAGCAATCGATACGTGGGTGCCGCTCTCAGACAACGATGGTCTAGCATGGCTTGTTGACGCAGACAGATCCCCCTAGTAGTAAATCTGGGAAACTGTCATGAACCCCTTGTTGAAGCCGTTAGACCATGTTAAAGCCAAAAAAACTCCAAAGTGCTGCCCTGAGATTCCCAGAACTCAATGCACAGGTTCGACTGTATTCCGAATGTCAGGTGCGGATTGTCCGTATCACACCGACTATCGACTCCATGAAGGACTCCATGGAGCAAGCCGCCGGAGTCCCAGATACAGACCATGAACTTCCAACGAGTGTAGAAAGCTTTTCTGAACATTAGATGTACCTTATTCCACATACAAAGATGCTTGAAGCACGGAAGAGAGAGGCTTGTGTCAAAGCCGACGGAATGAAGCCGTGCAGACATGCATGGGGGCAGGGGCTGGCATCACCGTCATGTTTTTGCAAGCATTGGATACTATACACATGTACCTACCTAATCCTACCTACATACATATATTCATTCGCACATACATGCCTACGTACATACGAAATACATACGAAAGATACACACACACATGCACACGCACACACACACACACATCCATACAGACATACATACACGCACATACATACATATGTATATACGCAAGCATGGACGTACATGTACGCACGTGCACAAGCATGTTTACATACGTATGCTTATATGCACATGCTGTGTATGATGCGTATGTATGTATATATATATATATATATGTGTGTGTGTGTGTAAACTCCTGCACGAACACTTTCAACGTCTTTCAGTATGCAAGATGAAGCCCAAAAACAACAAGCTGCAGAGTTCTTGGGCATGACCGAGGCTTCGGACACTGCGGCTTTGGTCTACAGGGGCAGTACAGTCTACAGTTTAGGGGCTTGAGGCAGGTGTAGGTTCTGTGTCCAGAGCAGTTGGCTTACCGGGCTCACAAGAATTGCCGCTGCTATCTTCCGTCATGAAAGCAAAAGTTGTCAAAAAGCTGGTCTTGTTTTGTGCTATTCAATGAACGCTTTTTCCGATCAGGCCATGTAAGACCCCAGCAGAGAAATTGAATGCCATGCGTTGTCTGAGTAATGTCATAGCTACTTGAGCTTGTAGCACAGAGCCGGAGGACTGTAATCTCTTGCTTGCATGTGGTTGCTCGCAGTTGGGCTGTCTCTGAAGATGGTCCACCTGTCCACGCTTCAGTGGGCACTTTCCGAACTTTGTAAGCTGAAAGGATTTCTATAGCCTCAGACTGAGACACTCCGCTATTCGAGTCTTCGCCTAGCCAAGTACAAAACCACCCAGAAACTTTTATGCTGTTCTGACTTCTGACAGCAGAACCTTCAACCACGCTTTTGCTATGACGCGGGCATCGTAGTTGACTTTGGCCGAGGAGGGTTCCGATGAGGAGTTTGTCATCATCGGCTTGACGGCTCCTGTCCCTTTGCATCATTCCATTCGGTTTAGGGTTTACAGTTTATGGTATTGTGGGTTTAGGTGTTCGGCTCTCAGGCTCTCAGCTGTGCTTATCTTTCAGAGGCTTTGTCATAGCTCCACATAGCTCCTGAGGTCAAGATCACCCTGTCGATTGTTCTCTTCCTTCCGCGCCTCGTGGTGGATATCTACCTGCTGTGGTGTCTCGCTCTTTCTTGGAAGCTTCAGAAACTGAGGACGCCTGATACAGACGGATCAGCCTTCAAAGCGTAGCCTGTTGTAGTGAGCTCGTGAACCGAAAGACCTCGTCTGGCAGAGTCCCAGTTGCGAGAGCATCAACAGTGCCCTTGCCCGCGTTGTGCGAGTGTAAGCCTCGAAATAGTGGGATCCTATCAACAAGCCTTTCCTGCCCTGTGAGAATGTGAAACTTAGGACCCCTGTGATTAATATAATGCCGTAATGCCATACTACTCGTATCCGTACTACCAGTTACTACCACTACTACTTCTGCTGCTGCTACGACGACGACCACCACGACCATGCTGCCTATACTGTTTTCGACCTCTATTTCCGCCTTTACGACGAGCACGTCGACAAAAGGGTTGGCGACATGCAGACCCAATCGAGGGGCTCCACATCGAGAGCGACACGGGGTAGTTTATAAATCTGACAGGTGTGCGTTGCTCCATCTCTGCAGCAGTATGTCGAAAGCTTGCGACGAAAGGTTGGGTTGCCGCTGGCTAACTGCGACGCCGAGCTTTGAAGACGTCATTCTCAATGCTGTTGCCTTGGAGTCCCTGGGCTGCACTTACTTCAAAGGAGTTCTGTGGCTTTGGCAGCAGCCAGGGTCAACGGTGGGAGGTGGACAATGCCGGATGCAATGTAGTGCAAACTTGCGAAGTGCTAAGGTTCATCCTTGTGTTGAACAACGTCATTTTCAGCACGGTGGTGCCTTTGCAGAGTGTCGTGGACACCCGCAACACACAAATCCTTCCTCGAGAGAAGGAGAGGTTTCCAAAGCTGTGACATGGTTGTTCGCCTCTACCAGGTAACCCTTCAATCGACAGCTTCACGGGAACTCCACGCAAGCATCAATGGGCACATTGGTGTTGCGGCTGTTTGTGGTTCAAAGCAAGTGCAGAGTGGGTGGGGTCCGTTTGCTTCCTTCCGAGCTGCTGAGACAGAAACTCGGCAAAAGAACGTGAACTGGTTTCAGCAATACCCATCGAAGGCATTGAGAAGCGGAAGGCCCTCTTAGACTTTTACGTCTATCGATGTGCAGCAGACTTTCCGCAGGTTTGCCGGCAAACATGGATCTTTACCTGCCAGGAAACCCTGCATGGCGGAGGCAAACAAAAACCGGAAGCAGCTGTGTTTTGTGTTAACCCGCCCTGGCAAGTCCGAGGGTGAGGGGCCCCCAAAACTGGCAAGTGCGACTATGAGAGCCTAAAGAGCCACAACTTAGGACCCAGGACGAGGGGTTGGCACGTAGGGACCAGACATTGGCACGTCGAGACTCAAAGACTCCAACCCCTCAGAGATTGTGTGTAAGAAGAGCTCAAGTGCAAAGCCAGGAACTTGGTAGAATCCCCATAACATCAAAAACCTTAACTTTCCAATCGTCCCACGTTCAAAAAAGCAAGCAAGGAAGTCTATTTCCTGAAGCCGATGGCACCCGGCGCGCAGACTGAGATCGTGGATGTCGTGGCCGCAAAGCAGGCCGGGCTTGGAAGGGTAGGGGAGGAGTTACAGCTTTAAACTATTTATAAGTTACGCACTTTTACTTATGTCCTGATGCAGAAATGGGCGTACATGCAGCTTTGAGGGTGAGAATTGGGATTCCTGCCATGGAAGCAGCACATCGTAAGTGCCAGGATTGGGGTTTAGGCTCAAGGCGCGGGACTTTGGAGCTTATAGTACTCGAGTCTATGGCCTGTATCTAGACGTCCTGATGCACTTAAGTGCAGAGGTCCCGGCTATGAGGTCAGAAAAAGCATTCAAATTGTTATACATGTGGACCAATGAGGCCTGCCGTAAATTGGACGGTTTACCTTCGATGATTACGTTTTTTGCAGAAGTGTGCTTTGGCGTCCGGGATAACCCAGGGCGTATGCAATTTCAGGCGGTAGTGGACTGACTCCAGTAACAGTACAGAACCCTGAAAACTACGATCCTGAATAGAAGGACCCTTACGCAGGCACCTTTCGCTTGAGTCCGAATCTGAGAGTATACACCCCAAGCGACAGACTCAGCGTCCGGGGTGCTACTTCAGATCCCAAATTCAACACTCTGAACCCGAAATCGATCCTAGAGCCTTCTCCAAATCCTTTCCAACCTGAAGCTTAAAAACTAAGCGCAGTTGTTAAGGGGCCGATTTGGAAACACTGTGCACGAATGCCTGAGCCGTACACCATGGCACTTCGCAGGAAGGCCCTCAGCCGGACTTGGCTGAAGGTCAAGGCGCGCCCTTCCACACTTCAAGAAGCTTTTTAGGTTGGGGCTTTAGGAGTTGAGCATGTAGTGGGGTTTAGGGTATAAGATTGTGCCTGTATGATGCTCCACGTGTGTGACTTTGTTGGTTGAAAGTTGGCTTCCTTGTAACGCTGTGTTCAGAGGCGCAAGAAACTCGAAACAAGTCTATATTCGCTTAATCGACCCCTCTACCTGAAGGTTCATGGGTAGTTCTAAGTAGTTGATGTTTTTCCACACATACTCCGTGCCTGCATCCCTTGCATAGCTCAGCCAGGCACAGCACCGAAGGATGGTATCGACCTGGAGATGTCCCGCAGCGAGGCAACAGAGGATCTGGGAAAGCCAGCAGAGCAGCCCCCTGTCCGGCTGATGTGCCTCGGCAAGACGGCTTGGGGCGCTCCTGTAGGGCATCCTTGCGGTGGGCCATGGTTTGAAACTTCAAGTTCCGAGTATTTGCTGAGGTGCCTGGTCATGCTGAGCATGTTCCAGGGCTACGCCTCCATGGTGGGCCCGCTGCAGTCGGCCTACAAGCACAAACTGGGAATCAGTACGGATGGAACCGCAGCAGCGCATGCTTTCACCCAGGCAGCTGTAGGCGTCCACTATGGCAAGTTGATCGCTCGCTTGGGTCACAACGTCATTTTTGCATGCCTCAGCCCGTGGACTCGGGTGGTGATTGCGATGTGCTTCATGTTTCTGGGAGTGACAATCCCGACTTTCCTAGTCTTCACATTGGGCTGGGACTGGGTAGGTTCCGTGTTCATTGCTTACATGCTCTCCGGCCTAGGGCTCGGAATTTTTGAGGTGACCTTCCTTAGTGTCATCACGCCTTTGGGAAGGGCCACAAAGGCATGGGCCATTGTAGGCTGCCCGATGGGTTTCGCAACCATCAATATCCTCGGCCTTACGGCAAGCTCCTTCGGGGTTGAAATGGTGTACATCTTCTACTACATCCTGGCCTGCCTGCCGACTCACGTCCTGCTTTGGTAGGCTGGGGGCGGGAGGGAGCTCACTGCAAAAGACTTAGGCAGGGGTGGGATGTGCGGGCGTGGCCCTGCTTTGGTTTGCCACGATCCTTCTTGACAGGTAAGTCATTGCAGAATTGAAGGAGAGTAGAACAGAAGGCTGGGTAATTCTGCAGCAATGTGATGCAGGCAATCGTCAAAACGTCGTACCAAGGATTGGCATGGCCCTCTTCTGCCGCCTGGCACCTCGTGGCAGCACCGAGCTTAAGACGGCCAACTTCAGCGCATCCCTGTTGCAGGTGCGGCTGAAAGGTTCCAGCAGTATCTGAGTAAGTGCGGGAGCAACGAGCAGCAGTAGTAGCAGTAGTAGCA